TTTTTTTTTTTTTTTTGGCAACAGGGTCTATGCAGCCCAGGCTGGCCTCAAACTTGCAATGATCCTCCTGCCTCAGCCTTCCCAGTGCTGGGATCACAGGTGTGCGTCACCGTGTCTGGCTGGCACAGACCGTTCTTCAACCATTCTGTCCACCCACTGCTCCGGCTCCACGAGTCTGCAGGTAGCAGGTGCTCACTAAATGCCGGCTGAGGGACCACGAGGGAGTGAAGGCCCTATCACTTCACCTCTTCAAACTTCATTCAGCAGCGCTGCCACAGACTCCAGTGTCCAGAAGCAGCCACCTCCACTGCCCCTTCTCAGCAGCATCTGGGGAGAAGCCCGGCGATGGCGGACAGGACGGGGCTTGCTCTGAGCCAGCCAAGCAGTTTAGCCTCCCTCCTGTCCAGCCCAACTCCTCAACTACATGACTGCAGTCCCTGCCTCAAGGAACAGGGCCAAGGGCCAAGGAGCCGCTGGCACAGGGCTGCCCAGCACGCTTGCTACTGTGTGTCAGGCCAGGAAGGGCTCCTGCAGCAAGCCTGTGCCTGGGGCTGGTGACGCCACACACAAAGGAGGTGCTGGCAGGGCTGCCCGCTCTGTACACGCACGTGGTCCTCGAAGGTCACATCCTCCCTGGACGCTCCCATGTTGGCCTTGGCGACGCCAGGCTGGATGATCATTTCCCTCAGGAACTGGGCATAGAGCTCCCTGTGAGGAGGAGGAGACAGGGTGATGCCCGGACCGACTCGTTCTGCCAACCCGGGCCCTCCCGTCCACAGCTGCCCTCATCTTACCTCTGTTTAGCCAGGACGGTTGTCCATGAGGCTCTCTCCACGGGAAGGTAGTTCAAAAGGATCTGCACAGAGGACAGCGGCACAGCTCTGGGACTGCCCCACCCGGGCCAGGGGCCCAAGGAGGCCACAGAGCAGACAAGAGGGCCAAGGCCCGGGACACAGGCCTGCACGCGGGCAGCCTCCCTTCCCCTCGCCTTATCCAGACCAGCCCTTCCCCGCACACACAGACTCTCCCCTCTGCTCAGAGCTTCACAGAGCCTGTGCTTTGTGCCTTGAGGACCCACCCCGTCTGGCCCTGGGTGCACCAGGAACTAGGCGTCTTCAGTGGCAATACAGTGGCCCATCCCCAAGGGCATCCTGGAGAGGACACCGACAGGACAGAAAACCCAGGACTTCCCAGGCTGGCTTCCTCAGACAAGCAGGAGGAGGTGCGGGGCAGGAGGGAGGCCAGAGCACGGCAGCCCATGCAGGACCCGGGGACCGGAGAGCGTGGAGCCCAGCCCAGGCACACCCACCTTCCAGCAGAGGCACCGCAGTCCGCCCTCACAGGGGATGCCTGTGGACACAGCAGGCAGAGGTCACGCCACCCGGCCCCAGCACCCCCAGCCCGGCACCTGGAGCCAGTTGGCAAGAAGTACTTCAAGAATCATTTTCCACCAAACAGATGGCCAAACTGGATGCTAAGTCTCTGTAATTTCTGTCCCTGGCCCCAGCTCTCAGACCTGAGCTCCCTCGTCTGGAATGTTTTGAGTTTGTTTTGTTTTTTGAGACAAGGTGTTGCTATGTAGTTCAGGCTGGCCCTGAACTCGCTACGTAGTACTGGCTGGCCTCGAATTCCCAGAGTTCTTCCTGCCTCAGCCTCTCCGTGCTGTAATTACAGGCATGCGCCCCCATGCCTGGCTCTAGAATGTTCTTTTATAAAGATCACACCTTCTTCTGATGCGTGATATTCCTTCCCTGAGGCGTCATTTCCAATCACCAGCTCTGCCCAACCTGATGAGGTTTCCCATTGTAAACAGCAAAGGTCCTGGGACCTCCTCTTAACACCATCACAACTGGAATTACATAGTTTGTGTCTTAATTGAATGCGTGCAACCGCTACCCCTGGGTTCATCCCAGGAGAACAAGAACCACATCTGCCTATTTCCAGGGCTTAGTACAGGGCACAGCACACAGAAGGAATTCCGTTAGTCCCTGAGGAATAGAAACTAAGCTCTGAGGCCAAATGCTTTGTGCTTTACAGACGCCACTTCATTCACTCCTCCCAATAGCCTCTTAAGTAGGAAAAATAAGCATCAGGTTTGCACTTTACAGATGGAGAAACTGTTCTAACAGCATCAGGGGCCGGGGATTTAGCTCAATGGTTCTGCTGCCTGCCTCGCAAGCAAGCGCAAGATCCCGAGTTTGATCCTCAGTACCAAAAAAAAGACAGCATCAGGGATTGAAACACAGGTCTGCCTCAAGAACCTGCACTTTTTTTGTGTACTGGGAATCAAACTCAGAAGTGCTCTACCACTCAGCTACTACCCCAGCCCTATTGATTTTTTGAGACAGGTTCTTGCTAAATTGCCTAGGAACTCTTGTTCCTCCGGCCTCAGCTTCCCTCAGTGCTAGAGCTACAGGCATACACCGCTGCGCCCAGCTTCTTCACCGCTAACCACATGCTGCTTGTTGTTCTGCAGACTATTACTCCAGAACAGGAAGGCCAGTGTCTCCTGCAATATCCAGGAACCGTACAAGAGCAGTGGCCAAATGATTTTCCCAGTACTAGGAACACAAGTTAGTGTATTCAAAACCCACATGGGGGTGGTGGGGACAACTTAACCTCCTTGCTGGCAGAGACACAAAGTTAAGGCAGTGACAAGAAGCTACAGAAACACTGAAGACAATACAAATACCTTAAAGACAGCCAAAGAGCAGGTTATCTCTGTGTTGGAATAAGATTAACTGTGCCAGAGAGGGCAAAGTCAAACATGGCCAAGGTTCAGCTCCTTAAAAAGTCGGCATTCCAAGGCCAGAATTTACCATTAACCAAAGATCACTGGTGCTTTAGTCAGCATTGATTCTGACCCTGGGTGAAAACCAGGAAGCATCCACGTGGTGGCTATAGAAATCCCTTAACACAGAAGGCAGCTGAGAAAAGAGGAAAGGCTAGACCCAGGCGCAAAGCCTTTCCGTTCTTGAGCCAGGTGTGGCAAGCCTGTGATCCCAGCATTCAGGAGGCTGAGGCAGGAGGATCAGATCACTGTATCTTCAAGGCCAGCCTGAACTAAGTAGCGAGACCATCTCAAAAATAAAAAATAAAAACAAGGTCTTCCCATTCTCGTTCTCCTGACTTCAGCCCTTTCCAGAGACACTCGGGAACCTCACAGCTCTGGGCCTAAGGCTTAACTTTGGCCTCCACTCCTCTGGGAAACTCCTCTGACGTGACGACAGGTGTCTACTCAATCTGCAGCTGGCTCCAAGCGTCACCCTGACCCCCAGAACAGAGCAGATGTGGCTCTAGGCATCCTCCCCTCGCCCTCAGCCGTTAATACTGTTCCAGAACAACCTTAAAAGAGCAGGGTTGGGGAGGGAGAGGGAATGTAGCTCAGTGCAGCGCCGGCCTGGCAAGCACAAGGTCCTGAGTTAGATTCCCGGTACTGGGAAAAGAAAAAAGGAAAGAGAAAGCGCAGAGTCGCCGTTTACCACTAAAACTGAGTTCCCGCAGCTTCTCTAATGCAATCCAGGGCTCTTTCAGGACATCTTGGAAATCTGCAATCCTAGAAAGGTCAGAAAGAGGCAAATGAAGCCAACCAAACCCCAAGACAATCAGCTTAGTGACCAACCCTGCAGCTCCCAGCTCCCTCACCACCAGCCTCCAACCTGAAGCTTTAGGGAGGCCGAGAGCTACACACTTCTTCCTCTAAGCCCAGGAAAGATGGGTGTCTCATGAGGGATATTCTTGTCTAGAGGCTCTCCAATGCGCACCATAAAATCAAGCATCTTCTAACAGTGAGCTGGCACTTCTCTGGCACTTTCGTGCTCACCAGGGGCTGCCACGCCACTACTCAAACTCAAACAATTTTAGGAGCCAGGGGTAACTTGATCTACAGTCTTCGGATGAGGGCAATTTGGCCGCAGCTCTCCTTGCTCAAGAAAGTAACCATTAAAACCGCTCTGGGCCTGCCCTCAAGCAAGGACAAAAGGCTTTAAAAAAACAATCCCCGGAGGAAAACTGAGAGTAAGCAAAATTTCGCCGATGCTGCAGGATCCAGCCTGGGGGAAGAGGGCAGACTGGATAATCCAGGTCCTCTAGCGCTTCTAGGAAGAAAAGGGCACGGGTGATGTGGCGCATTTGGAGGAAGGGCTGGGGGAAGGGGGTAAAAAGAAAGGGGATGAGAACCTTCGCGGTCTGGATGAGGAAGACCCGGGGGAAGGGGTCCAGGGTGGAGCAGAGAGGCGTCTCTCCTCTGGCTCCAGGCAATGAGGTTACAAAGTGGGCACCCCCGAGGCCGGGCAGCGCCTGCGCGGGCTCGCTCTGCCCAGAAAAGGGGGCTCCGTCCAGGAGCGCCCCGAGGGCCCTTACCGGCTCTTGTGCAGACTCGACATGATGTTGACTTCCGGGCCCCCCGGCTGCGTCCACAGCCT